CAGACAGACAGACAGACACACACACCATGTATACATCACTTCAGGGGACATTACATTGACTTAGGCCTACATGCATTTCCTGGAGACGTATCCTAACCTTAACCATAACCAACACATGTTTACCCTAACCCTAACCTTCACCTAAAATTAATGATTCCCCTCATGGGGACCTCCGTTTTGTCCCCATAAGGGAGGCGAGTCCACACACGTGAATGTGTAAACAGATGTTGGTCCCCACAAGTATAGTAATGCTAGGCCACACACACACACACACACACACACACACACGCACACACACAGAGACAGAGAGACAGACAGACAGACAGATAGACAGACAGGACTACTGTTTCTGATCTCTGAGCACCAGGAAAAGCACTATACAAATTACATGTATTATTATAATAATTTACCTGGGGGGCTGTTCTCGTCAGTGGCGGGGGGGCTGTGGCAGAGAGCCAGTGTTCCCCCCCCCCTGTCTCCCCCGAGCTGGGGGGGCTCTTCTGCCCCTTGCTGCCCAGAGGAGGGGGGCTCTCATCGGGGGAGGATCCCGGCGACGGCCCCCCCTCCCCCTCCAGAGCCCGGAGCTTCAGCAGGGAGCTCTGCAGGCAGAAACAGAACATGATCCAGAGATTAGCCTGGTCCCAGCAGGAGGAGAGGTGGGGGGGGAGGCTGGTACACACAGGAGCTGCTGTTCTGATCAGATATTCCAGATACTAGCCAGGTCCCAGCCTCTGGAGCACCACATGTGGAGGAGACGGATGGTTGCTGTTCAGGACTTAGTCTGCCCCCACAGTCCAAAAGAGGCTGACCGGCTCTCCATAAATTAGTCAGGTGTCGTGCACCGAGCCTCCCTCCTGTCCAGATATTAGTCTGCACCGCTGCACATGAGAGAAAACAGAAATATAAATCCCACCTCTGCACTCCAGCGATTAGCCAGTTCCAAAACGTGACACAAAAATATGAATTCTGCTTTAGTTCCAGGCGTTAGTCAGCCCCGCTGTGTAGAAGCACTCACAGGTTTTGAATCTCCATCGTCTGGTTCTGCTCTCTGATGCTGAAGCTGCGTAGGTTTCCTGTTTCCTCCCTCTCCCTCCCTCCTCGGTGGATTACTCATCCTCAGGCTGAGGAGGGCGAGAGACGTAATGAAAACATCTCTCCCTCTCGCTCCCCCTCTCTCTCTTTCTCTCTCTCTCTTTTTTCCCCTCTCTCTCTCTGTCTCTCTCTCAGCAGAGAGGGGAGTAGGGGCTTCCTGATGACGTCATGTGTGTGTTTCTCATTCATAAAAAAGACCGGAGGCGTGAGCATGAACTGTCTGTACCAACAGAGAAAAAGGGTTAATAGAACATGCACATACCATAATAATAATAATAATGCATTTAATGTATGAAGGGTTTACAAAGGAAACATTGCATGAATTACAGACACATGAATACAACCCTGTGGCCCACTATCTAAATAATAAGAAACAAGCACCAAAATGTGAGCCGAATGACTCAGAGTAACATCCAGGTTTATATTAAACATCCGTGGTTGTTTTAACATGTTGAGAAGATTTACAAAAAAGGCATGGCTCGCCAGACTCCATCGAGAAATGATGAGAATGAAAGGTAGGCCTAATCTTATTTGAGGGCAGTAAATTAATATCTTAGGAGATATATCTGAATAGGTTTGGGTCTTTGTGTTAATGCGGCAGAGAAATAATCATCCATTAAAAATATTTTTTTAAAACCTTAACTTTTCAGTTAGTTTGACGGCAGACCCAAACACTTTGATGGTCTGTTTCTTATATAACATTTTAATGCCAAATTACTCAGTGTAACATCCAGATTTATATTAAACATCCATGGTTGTTTTAACGAGTAAGAAGGGTTTATAAAAGAGCAAAACAAAGCAGATCTAGCTTTTTAGAGCAAGATCTGCTTTTGGTCGCAGTTTGAGGCAGGACTACCAGACTCCATATAGAAATCATGAGGATTAAAGGTAATCTTGTTCATGTGCAGCTCATTCATATCTTTCTAAACCTTTTGAGATATATTCTGAATGATTACGAGTCTTGGGATGAATTCGGCTTAGAAACAATCATCCAATTAAGAATACAAAATAACTTTTCAGTTTATTTGATGTTTGGCTGCTGGGAACTCCTTCAGTGTTGGGTGAATGACAGCACAAGCCGAATTACTCAGTATATCCTCCTTAATGAGAACAAATTAGTGATGCATGTTGACAACGAAACCAAACCAAAACCAAACCACACCAACTCCCCCTCCGTGATGGAGTGAACTCCGTCTGTAGTCTCACTCGCAGCTGAACGAGGCTCCTTCTGTCAGATGGAGGTGTAAAAACAGCAGGAGGCTTTGGGGCGAACTCCCCTCTCTCCGGAAGAAACGGGAAATGCCGTAACTTTTGTAAAACAAAGGTTTGAAATAAAACCCCCAAAATCTTTAATGGTGTTTCTTTTTTGTAAAACACTTTTTGTTTTAAAATCTGATGTTTAGAAGCTGCTTGGTTTTTCTAAATATACACAACTTTATAATAAAATGCACTCTTTTACCGTTTTCCGGACTAAACACTGGGATATGATTCTGAGTTAAAAACAATACGAGGTAACATGAGGTTGTTAACATCTGTATGATGATATTTAATGTCTTTAATATCTTATTGTGCAGTTTATCAGTTAATGTTTGCAGGAACTATTTGTAAACAGCGTGTTTCATGACGGACACACAGTGTTGGTCAGTCAGGTGGAGCAGCAGGTATAGGCCCAATTCCAAACCGCCCCCTACACCTTACACACTACCCCTCCGTTTGCAAGATTTTTCCAGCAGTTTAAAGACTTCCTCTGATGTCCCTATCAGATTCCCCAAAGTAAGGCTGAGTTTTTCATTAGCTAGCTAGCACTCTCCTCGCATCTCCGTACTTGTGGCAGTGTATTAAGACTGTCTGTTTGACCAACCCACTCTCTTCAGTCTTCGTACAAATGACACGACTTTACACATTGGAAATGCGTGCAATAGATACGCAGAAGTCCGATTTTGCATGCATATGATTTGCTAACCATTCCCATTGAGATCTGAGGCCGAGTTTTGTTTCGTGCATGCACACTTATTTTTGTCAGGTCGGTTCTTGGTAGACCGGAAGCTGTGTGGTTCATAAAAACATATTCTTACTCAATACCAAGCCACGATTATTGTTTTTATTTTAAATCGTATAATGTCTGACTTTGTTTGCCTTCTGTGACGAAAAAAAATGTGGCTCAGAGCCACAGAATAATTAAATCTGTATTTTTTTAAATCTTTTTTTCCTTCTAATTTGTTATTATTTTCTAAATAACACACTGTTATTTACTCAACAATAACACACAATTATCCTTGTTTTTATTTATTTGTTTGATTCTATAATCTTGGGCTTTTTAGCATGCTTTGTAGCCGTAAATAAAGTCACCGCAAACAGACGTAGACGGTAAACTGATTACCCAAGATCCTCAGCTTGAAGCTCGGGGATGTTTTAGCCGCAATGCACATTGGGATATGGTGTTAATGCGATATATGATATCCGAAAATAAATTCAGAGTTTAGGATGGCCGAAGACACTACACTACCCATAATCCCCAGCTATCGTTTGGGACTACAGTCCCGTTGACAAACCCCGTGATTAATATTCAAGCTCTGGGATTAGAACCGCCACTGGCAGTAGCCAAGGTTACGCCGAGCGTCAAGCTCTTTGAAATGGAACGAAACCACGGCAGACTATTCAAAACTGGACTCGAACTCCCCCTCAGAACTACACATGCTGGCTATTGTGTTTCGCAACATGTTCTCCATGGCACGTCTCTACTGGGAATTGTAGTTTTAAAAGACGTGTTCGTTTTTCCCAAAATTAGAAGTTGACAGTATTAAAACTGTGGACAGCCCTGGAGGTTTAGGCGATAGGAAACACATTGGTGTGTACACATTTAAAACATGTAATTAATAAATGGGTGAAAATCGCTTGTATCCATAATGGACAGCATTAAAATATACCCACATGACAGCTCATTGTTACTTTGTAAATCTACTCCACTACATACAATTCAGAGGTTAACCTGGTATTTTTACTCCACTACA